TATGGTGACACTGAACTCTTTTTTTTCTTTCTAAAGAATACTGTACTTTAGTTTTGAAAGAAACCAATAATTCTAGTATATGGGGAAAAATACCACGAAAGGTATTACAATAATAAGATACATCTTTTCCGCCCTCTTTATCGCCGTCAAATATGTCACCTAACCCCGGTCTTGCACTGTATCTACATCATAAGTAATGCTGACAACGTAAAGGAGCAGTATAACGTGCATTATGAAATAGAACATGTACCAAAATCTGCAATATGACTTTCGCTACAACCTACATTATAACCTTCACTACAACCTCTGACCTGCATCACAACCTACAATATACCTCGCATTAGAATCTACAATGTAACCCGTATTCCAACTTAAAGAATAACCGGTACTAAAACCTGCAACATGTGCGCATAAATGACAGCACAGCTTACACTATAACTTAAAGCAAAAGCCCTCGTAGATTGCATGCGAACCTACAATATAACACGCATAAGAACTACAATTCAACACCCTGTTATAATCTTAAGTACTATTTTTACCATTCATGCTATTGTCTTCCTCACTATTCCTTTCACCTTCCACAATCTCTCTCTCTTTCTTTCTCTCCCTCCCTCTCTCTATCTCCCATTTTTCTCTCTGTCTCTGTTTGCCTATCTGTCTGTCTCTGTCTGTCCACCTGTCTCTCTCACTCCTACCCCCCTTCGCACTCCCTCTCTCTCTGTCTCTCTCTCTCTTTTTTCACTCTCTGTTTCTGTTTTACACAACAATGAAGTAAATGAACAAGATATTTTTAAGTAAACTGACAGGCAAACAAAAAATCATCGTTATTTTATGTACATATTAATTGAAGTATCTTTTACCTGCAAGGACCAACATTCCGAAAACATTATTTGAGGGATTATATGAATAATGACACAAATTTTGTAGAGGTAATGTTTACTGTTTCAGTTATCATGAAAAAAATTTACTTAAGTTTACTTTTTTCCTCCTGCTCTGTAATAAAACACTAATATCAAGCTGCTTTGGTGGTGCAGGAATGGCAATGATCTCCTTTGGCCTGCTCTCCTCTGCAATCCTATCTGGGTCGGCTGGGTGTGACTTCGAATCCCTGTCCCCTTGGATAGTCGGAATCTCTGCTTCAAGTGCCTATCGGAACATAAGAGGATCCTTGTGTGGGTATCCTTGCCGTGTTAACCAAGAACGCGGAATTTGGTTCTCGAGGTCAAGGTAACTTGCCAGTGAGGAAACATATTGCAAAATAGAGGCTGCAATATCAGTGAGGAAGTTTACATTTAACATATTGTTACCTAAAGATCCAAACACTTGTTTTCAAAACAATTTTTGGAATATTTGTCCATTTCTACATATCATATTAAACAGAATGTTATCAAGAACTTGTCACTTGACCTTTGGAACGCCACTGGAATGAGACAGCAGGTGTTAGTTTCAAAGTTATAGAATCATTAGCCGTTTTAGCCTTAGGGAAGGTGGAGAAAGGAAAAATGTTTTGACAGAGGGTGTTGGGGAAATGAGACTTCACGTACAGCAAACTTCAAGTGTATATATCAGTGGGCGATGATATACAAAGTCATGATTCTGTCAATCAGTTGTCTGATCTAGGAACTTGAGCAGAAGCGATTTGCGTTATACAGTTTCAGCTGTAGGACTGCAATATAGCTTCCACTATAATCTACATTAAAACCTGCAAGGGGCACACGGGGTAACCTCTAGAGCAGGGGCAGCTGCCTCCTTCGCCCCTTAGTAGTTCCACCACTGCGTAGATTGCGACGAAGAAGGCGGTGGCAACGACGACAAACACCACGTGAAGATATGGTCCTGTAATCAGTAGCACGATTAGTGGGCATATCAAGCATTGTTCTTATCTCAGTTTTTATATATCAGTGGAAAAGTCTGTAATATTGGATGAAATACAGTAACTGCACAGTTAATAGAAAACGGACTCATGAAACCATTACATTAATTGTTTTTAAGATTCTTAAATAATAATGCAGGATTCTCTGACCGTTGACGATTGATGGTGTGATTAGTTTGCACGAAGAATCAAACGAAATTGGCTGGGCGGCGACACAGGCAGGACAAATCACCGCCGTTATAATCTGTTATAATCTTGAACAGCTTCACGAAAAAATGTTAACTTTACCCTCCACCTTCCTTACCGAAACGAATCTAGAAAATAAACTCAAATCATTATATCCTTGGAGAAGTGACGTAACTGCTCACCCGTCACGTGACAGCACTGGCCATCCCGGGCGGCAGACGGGGTTCGAGCGAGCCTCCGCCCGACCGGCTGGATCCGGATCGCCGGAACGCGACGAGCCCGTCCGCGTTCAAGGCTGAAGGCGGAGTGGGCCCGCGGCCGGACGCAGACCCGATGCCCGCGCATGCGCAGTGCAAGGGATTTCAAATTATATTATCGATTAAAAAAAGAATAAAAGAAAAAAAAAGTCCAGTGAAAATTGGTAAGATCCTCTTACAATGATTTAACGTAATTTAGGCCGTGTTTAACATGCACTCGAATGCATCATATATCTATATCTATCTATCTATCTATCTATCTATATATCTATCTATCTATCTATCTATCTATCTATCTATCTATCTATCTATCTATCTATCTATATATATATATATATATATATATATATATATATATATATATATATACCTGATGGGCCCTGTAACTCTGTGAGTCCTTAAAGCGCGAAATATTGACAGCATAAGATTCATTTCAATGGTGTAGAATTTATCTCGCTGAAGACACTAGTCGCCACAGATGCATGTTGCGGAGCTCAACAGAATGGCAATCAGGATCTGAGCCGTTTTTTTGGTGCGCAGGGTTTGGACACTGCTGAGAAGGGAGAAAGAACAGAATATCAGGAACCTTTCTGAGCAAGCTGAAGGCTGTTTTCTATAGCAAATAACCATCCTAGCTACCAAGCCCTGAGAAAACTCAATTCCAAGCCCTCTTTACAGATGACTGCAGTCCGCTTAGCAGATGGATGAATTCTCTCAGCTCGCAGCGGGGCGATCTCCGGGTCGAAGTTTGGTCAAGCACCGGCATATGCGGCATCCCAGCCGAACTGTTAAAGGCTGGAACATATGACATGGGGCTTGCATGTTGTCCTGGCTGCCATCTGGCAGTCCGGTACCATTCCCCGGCCTGGCTGAGGGGCGTGTTCATCCTTCTCTGGAAGAATAAGGGGTTCGATGCAGCAATTATTGTGGCACAAGGTTTTCGCTAACATTCTTCTGAGACAGATCCTTGGCCACTTACCAAGGCACCAGAGATCGGAGCAATTTGGATTTATTCCTGGCAAGCACAATAGACCATAGCATAGCACTTCAAGTTGTGGTCGTGGGATGCTTGCAGTCTCCATCAACCTCAAGAATACATTTGACTCAGTGGATCGCGAACCGTTATAAGAGATTCTGAGACAGGAGAATTCCAACAAGGATTATGGGACTAACAGCAAGCCTATATATTGGTGCTGTAAAGTGTGGTGGGGGCCTACTCATTGTGGATCAACATTGGGCAATATCAAGGACCCCGAACTTGACTTTGCCGACAATGTTGACATCCTATGAGTTTTTGGGATCGTCAGGGGCAGCTCTTGATGCATTCAGCAATGAGGTGAAGCCCTTTGGTCTAGAGGTCTCCTGGACCAAGACCAAAGTCCAGAATATTGGGGGCCTGTTTAGGGAACCTGAGCAATCAGTACTTGCTTGCGTTGAGGACGTTTAAGTCACAAAGCGTTTTATATACCTTTGCAGTGTAGTTCATGACTTTGCGCTGTCAGATCAGGAAGTCAGTTGATGTTTTATCTCTACAAGTGTATTTGGAGATGCTGGTACCTGTACAGAAGGACCAAGCTACACACCTGTAAGGTCTTGATGCTGCCAGTTTTGCTTTATTAAAGTGAAAACATGACGCTGTTTAATGCCTTGGAGTCTTGTCTTGATGCCTTTTTTAACATATCCTTGTGCTGGATCATAGGGTACAGTTGGCAGGCTCATGTGTCTGATGGTTACTCTGTGAGACCAGCATAAGACCTGTTGATTGCACAATCTAGGACCGCCAACTCAAGCTATACGGGTACCTAACTCGTTTCCCTGTGGATGAAAACTGCCCATCAGGTTCTCTTGTCACGAGATAATCCTGGGTGGAGGAGGCCTGTCAGTCGTGGCTTGGGGAGATCGACCAGAGCTGGTTTGAGTTGCTAGGGATTGGCCGAGGACCTGCCTGGCGGCTCACCATGAGGGTCCCTCGTGAGTAGAGGCAGAGGGTGAATGTGGCTACGTGTCCCTGTCAACGATAGCTCCAATGATTTACCAATACACACACACACACACACACACACACACACACACACACACACACACACACACACACACACATATATATATATATATATATATATATATATATATATATATATATATATATATAGAGAGAGAGAGAGAGAGAGAGAGAGAGAGAGAGAGAGAGAGATAAATAGAAATATATTGATATACAAGTATAAAAAAGTTACATGTTTATAAATGTATGTATATTTTCATTTATCTGTATATATATTTCTATATGCATATGCATACACATATTTACATAAGTATAAGCATGTGTATATAAACACACAAACTGTGACACACATACACACACAAAAACACACACACACACACACAACACAAACACACACACACACACACACACACATTATATATATATATATATATATATATATATATATATATATATGTATCTGTATTAATATTTATACTTATATGTATGTATATATATGCACACACACACACACACACACACACATACATATATATATATATATATATATATATATATATAATATATATATATATATATATATATATATAATACATATACATACATATATGAATGTATGTGTGTAGATATACATAATATATATATATATATATATATATATATATATATATATATAATATATATATATATATATAAACACATATACACATACGTGTGTGTGCGCGCGTGTGTATTCATAAACATATTGAAACATTAACGATAGTGTCGAGGGACAGCAATGTTGTGCTTATGATCTTTATTAGCTTTCTTTACTTTTATCTTTTATCATCAGATGGCTATGGCATCAAATAAAGATCGTAAAAAGAATGCCAGTACACTTTATTCACTATCGTCATCATACTTTTAAATAAGGTGAAGCATCTTTGCTAAAACCGATAGAATAGTGCCGTAAATTATAATATACAAAGAATAGATATTAAGGATGGTGGAATTCAGTTTTTGAATTCCAGTAAGAAGTACTTCTTCAGAAAATAGACAAGCAGCTCACAGTACCTTGAAGTCCGCCGCGCATGGCTGGAGACAATGGCCATGTTTACGTGGAGCTGAGGTTAACGCAACTGCTCAGGCGCGTCTGTCATGGCCCCAGGCAGGTGCATTCGTTAATGTGATTTATACATGTACATCAAGTATAAAACGGGATAAACTTTGATACCTGAAAGTCAAAATGAATATCTCAGTTTAGGTTATGTGCAGTAAATCAATTGTGACACGTCTGCCGAGCCGCTTGTTTCTCCCATTATTCTTCATAATTTCAAAACTTTAAAATTACATCAATCTTTGTCATCTTCATCATTAATCTACCATTATATCCGAATAGCACAAATTCCTGAAGATGAAATGAAGGTAAGATTTTCTTTCTCTTTTAATCAAATAATGCAAAAGTTTACTGGATAAATAACCCGAATGATTTGCCACTTCTGCCTGAAAAGGGTTAGTGTTAAATGGCGCACAGTCGTTTAGTCGTAAATCTATCTTGCTGTACAGTAGTTTCGCATTCTTTTCTTTCTTCTTTTGCACGTTTTTGTATCCAGTCCAGCGTCCTTGTCCCTACCTCATGCAGCCCCCGGTAAGCATTGTATTAGAAACGGTTGCTTGCTTATACTTTTTTGAAAGATCAAGGCAGATGGGTAATACTTTTTTCTAACTGCGTTGTAAGTATCCTATTTTATGTATGTGTGTACAAGGTTTAGCGTCGGCAAAACCTGACACCTGATCTATAAACACAACAGAGAAGTAATATTGCCAGCTCACACGAACGAATAAAACAAGATCCCATCATAAAGCAAAAGAAATATAGGGAAATGTGATGTCTTTTACAAACCGAAAAGACCCATTTTCACGCCAAAGAAATTCAATTCCTAACGTCCACTTTAGAAATTATCTGACATTGCCAAAGATTGCTCAAAAAGTCGAGATCTCTTTCATTAGGAAAGCAGAATCCATGTCAGGTTACTTACCAGACAGGTACAGTGGTCGCCATATTGAGAAATTTAATAATCATCTGAAGGTGACGCCATTTTTCGCACATTTCGCGCCAAAAGCAGGCGCCGAAACATATTTTAAACAAAGGAAAGACGGGCAGCGCACACGCAACGAAGTCGGGAAGGAGGAATTATTCATCTGCCTTGACTGCTTTTTTCATAACAGAAAATTATGAAAGAAAATTATGATTTTTTTTTTTTTTTTTTTTTTTTTTACCAGAGGTGTGTCTTAGCCCAACTTAGATGCCATTATATTTTGGCGGTGATCCTGAGCCTGATCCAGGAGTTATTTTGAAGAGTCACTAGCATTGCGAGAGACGGAAACGGACGTAACCAGCGTACTTGAGAAAGAAGTAATTTTAATGTAATGCTTCGTGTCAATATTTTTATTGCATCAGTGACCCTATTGCCTTGCCGGAGGTATGCGCTCTCTGAGTATTTCTAGTTGTTATAATTATTATTAGTAGTAGTAATAGGAATCGTAGTAGTACTGTTAATATTATCCTTATTATTTTTTTCATCATTTTTATCATTAATATTATTATCATCATCATATCATTGTAATTTTCATTGTTATTGATATCATCATGATAATCATTATTATTATAAGTCTTATAACTATTATTATTATCATCATCCTTACTATTGTTTTTATCATTATCATTGTTTTCATCATTATCATTTCATTATTTCTATCATTATTATTATTATCATCGTTATCATTATTATTATTATTCCTATAATCATTATTTTTATTATCGTTATTATTATTTATCATTATTATTTTTATCTTCTTTTTTAGTGTCATTGTCATAATTAATATCAATTTCATTTGTATTATTGTTATCATTATCATCATTAATATTTTTATTATCATTATCATTACTTTTAGTAGTAGCAGTATCATCATTGTTATTACCATTTTTATTATCAATATTGTTAACATTATCATCATTAATGTTCTTAACATTATTAATCCTATCTTTGTATCATTCCTATATCCTAATTGCAATATTTTTTTATAATTATTATTACGATCATCACCATTATGATTACTATAATCAAGATATTAGTAATAATGATATTTATCATCATCACCATAATTTTCCACAATCATCACTATTATCCTCCACACTATCA